CTTTCACCCCCCCCCCCCCCCAAAATTACTAACAATCTAGAGTACAAATTTGTCTTTTTGAAGTAAAAGTAAAATCCATAATGGGCCTTCAAGTGAAATTAAACAAAAAAATCAACAGTTTGAAACAATTTTTTGACCAAATATTAAAGGATTTGATAAAAGTATCAATATTTTGAATAGTACATACAATATGGATACCTCTAATTACTTCTTCTGGTTTTTCCTTTTTCTTTTTGTGCCATAACAAACAAATCGTGGTAATACAATTAAAATAGTTTGATTTTGAAATAAATATATGAACAGTTTTTGTTTGGGTTATTATCACTTTATCCCCTTCAACTATATCACTACTATCAGTTTACCTCCTAACGTTATCTTTTAGTCACTTCACCCCATAAATAATTCAACTCAACATATTAAGAAATTTTGGACAAAAATTCCCTTTTATTCGATAGCATTACTATATTGTTATTATTACTTTATTCCTTTAAATTATAGTGATATAATCGCTTTAATTCCTAACATTATTTTCAAGACATTTTACTTCATCATTAATCTAATTAGTATGGTCAAAAAATTTTAAATACATTGACCCTTTTATATATATAATTAAATATACAAAAGTTGGAATGATTATTCTTCTTTTTTTCACTTTAAGAGATCAAAAAAATAAAAATAAAAGAATTTTCTCAAATTTCTTTTTTCAATATTAGGAAAAGAAAAAGAGATAGGAAAGAAGGAGACAGAAAATTAGATTTTGCCAAAAAAATAATAAAGAAAAGTCTAATATTATCGTATTAATTTAAAGTTGTTGGGATTAGGATTGAAATCTGGTGGTAAACATTAAAGTAAAATAATTTTAAAATAATAAAAGTATTTATTTCTTTCTTATTTGTATTTTTTATAAAAAAAAGAATTGAGTTCTCTCTCTCTCTCTCTCTCTCTCTCTCTCTCTCACTCCCCCTCCCAATCTTTTTATTTGTTTTAATATTAATAAGATTGCCAAGAAGAAAGAGATTAATACTTTGATTTTTTTTTCTTGATACTAAATATGAAAAGACACACTTTAAATTTTTTATTTTTTTTATTCTACAAAGAGGAGGGTACTTTCTCTAAAGTTTTTTAACTTACTAAGTTGGTTTAATGGTGGGATTAGGGGTGTGCATTCGGTGCATATTCGATAATTCGGTTAGTTGAATTCAGTTTTTTCGGTTATTTTACTTGTAAAACTCTAAACCGCTTTCAATTTCGAATTGGAAATAACCGAATTCATTCGGTTACCAAATTGAATTTGGAAACGGTCATGAAATCGGTTATAACCGAATTGGATAGTAATTTTCACATGATTAAATAGGACTCACTTGTGTAGTTGTATATACTTATTCACTTATGATTTACTAATTATGTATTGCACTACACTTACATTTATTTTTATTTTTTATATAATTTAAATGCTTAATTTGCAAATAACTTGATTGCTTTCAGCGATGAATGCTAATATACTAATATGTTGGCATGCAATTCATATACATTTATTTAGACTGCTTAATCATACTATTTTGTTGTCTTCATTTAAACAAAATTAGTGATTAAAGAATATAAATTCACATATTATATATGTAATGTAAATTTAGAGTATACTAATACTTGCAAGTTAAACAATACACATTCAAATATTTAATAATCCAAACATAAATGATGAACTAATGTCTAAATTCTAATTACTAATTATGTTTAATATTTAGTACAATATTTATACTTATTATCTAATTCTAGTTATGTATAAAAGGATAAGTATTATAGTTTTGTATTATTGTATATTTGTATTATTATAATCATATAACAAATACTAAAATAGGATATTTTACATCATTATATATTTTTATTATTATAGGTACATGATAATACTATGTACTATCTATTATTAATAGACTTACCTATGTATTAATAGTATATAGTATTTATCTATATAATATATAAATTTATAAACTAATTTGAATTTGAAATCGGTTATTACCAAATTGATAATCCCATTACCTATTTCATACCATATTAGAATTCGGTGAATTTGGTAAATACCGCTTTTGTACCAAATTACCAAATACCTGATTTCAAATTACCAAATTGAATTTGAAATTGGGTATAAATTCGGTTCTTACCAAATTTGTTCACCCCTAAGTGGGATAAATTACCTAAAAAATAACTCTATGGGGTAAATTAATAGTGAGGTCATAGTTTATGGGGGTAAAGTGATAATAACTTTTAGGGCTAAACTTGTCTTTTTACTTTAATTAACAGACTCCGTTAAGTTTGACCGTTAGTTTTGGGGGTAAAGTGACTAAAAAATAACGTTAAGGGGGAAATTGATAGTAGCACCAAACGTTAAGGGGGTGAAGTGATAATAACCCTTTTTATTTTACCTTTAGAGTTGGATAACCTAAACTCACAATAAATAAAATTTAATTTGCATGTTCTGTCATTATTATTTTTCAAGTTAAGTGAGTTGAATTTGTTAGTGTCTTAATGAAATTCCTTAATATAAAGTTATGTACACATCATTTCAAAAATAAAAAAGATGTATAATCTTTCAAGTTCAACTATTTGTATTCTTTTGTGTGTTATTTTTATTAATAATGCAATGTAAATGATTCACCACATATGAATTTTTTTCGCATAAGTATTCAATTTTTATTTGAAAACTCATTGCTAGAGATAATTGATTTTCTCCTTTCTCTTTTATTTTCTTTATTCTTTTATTTTTGGATAGAATATAACACAAAGCACAAACAACAAAGACTCCATTGTTTTAAGAGCACTTTATTTTAGTATCAATAGTACTATCTTGGATGATTTAGAAATTAGATTAGATTATGACTAATCAAGAATTTTAAATGAAACAAAAACTAAAGATGGAATGCAAAAAGACAGATTAAATTGGAGTGTCTTATTTTGGAAGTAGCAAAAGAATTTATTTATACTTACAAAGATTTAAACTATAATATCAAAACTAGAGGGGCATTAGGATCAATATATATGCTACTCTAAATATAGTTGGTTTGTCATGTATTAATTGAGATCAAAGCTAACCTAAAGAGTTCTCATGGCAAATTCAACGCTAATCGTGGATTTAGATTCCAAACAGAACTTATTTCACGTAAACCTAGAAGGTATATTTGATTTTCCAACACCAAGAATCTCCGACAAACACAATTTTAAATAAGGAGCCGTTTGATTCAAATTTCACAATCATTATCACTATCGGTATCGTGATCCATGATAATGGATTTTGATGAAAACTCATAGTGTGTGTTGTTAATGTGGAATGGATTTTATAATTTATAATTTTTCTTTTTCATTATTTCTTTTTTTCTTTTCTTTTTTTTCATTTGTTGAAACTAGCACAAGCGGTGGTATTATAAGATGAGTATTTTTACCTTTAGAGAGAGTAAAATGGATAATTAAGATGATTCCCTAGTGAGAAGTGGTTAATCAGGAAATGCATAGAAGAGGCCTATTATTCCCACTGATTTATTACCATTGGCCCCAAGCAAATATGATGAATGGGTATAATTGAGTTTGAAACCCATAGTAGAGGTTAAAACCTATTTACCAACACCCCCTAAAGTAATCATACTGATAAGCCCCCTTGTAAGCCATTTATATTTTTCTTTGTACATCCCACCAACCTACATTCACCCAAATCAAGTATTTAGTTAACAAGAATCACATAGTTGATTACAGGGAAAGGCCACACACTAGAATTCAAAAAACCCAGATCAATGCAACACAAAGATATCGACCCCATAAAAGAAAAAAAAAATCTGATAATGCTGATCCAAATCATGGACTATGCAGAGAACAGAATAGTTTGCCAAGATACTAACCATGAAAAGATGGCAAGCACAGGTGCAAGGGGAGATTATATTGTTACGAGGACATTAGGAGCAATTTTTAAATTTTAGTCAGAGAAGAGGAGAGAGAAAATTTTGAGAAGCAAAATAACGTTTGAGGCCGTAGGGTTTATAAGATTTATTCTTTTTTACTTGAAAATTTTAATTTTTTTATATATATATAAGTTAGAGAACTCGAATCCAAGACCTTTTACTTACCCTCACTTCCCTTCTAGAGTTTATAAGATGCTTAATTATTTCAAAACATCGGATGAAAAACATGCTTAATCATTTCTTGCGAAATTTTGCAAGGTATACAAGATTCGTCCCAAGCACTGCAAAACACCAGATTTAAAAAAAAAAATGATCATTTCCATTTTTTCCGTGTATTTGCCTGCAAAAAAAAAATATATAGCGGTGAAATTCCACACAGCACTTAAAAATAGGCTAGATGAAACCCTCCGATCCACCATACTTTTGGACTTACTTTGGATTAATAATGGCCACAACAGATTGGACAAATATCAGGTACAACCAACCCAATTTAGACACTAGGCTTGTCCCAGATGAATCAAATTTTCTTTGTTTGGACTTTGGACTTTCGAAGCCTCTGAATGACCTCTTGGGAGTAAACTTTATGAGTAAATCTTATATACACTGATAATGTATACACTATTACTAATTGATTCATAATATGCGTAAAAGTTGAATTTCAAATTTAAATTTCATATGGTTATCATTCATCCAATGCGAATAGTGTATACACTGTCAGTGTAAGAAAGATTAATCCAAACTTTATAGCTTTGCTTTGAAAAAAAAAAATAGAATAAAGAGAGAGTTTATACATGGCAAACGAGAAATTCACGAAATTTGTAACTTTCAAATTCTCCCAAAAGAATAAAAAAAGAGTAAATCTTATATATACTGATAGTATATACACTATTATGCTTGGATACATGATTTATGAGTAAAATTTGAATTTTAAATTTAAATTCATATGAGTTATCATGCATCCAATAATAATAGTGTATACACTGTCAGTGTATAAAAGATTAATTCAAAAAAAAAATTTGTTTCTTTGAATGTAAACTCTTATGTACTTTATTAGTGTTTACCTTAATGTAATCTCTCCATTTATTTGCAGACATGTAATTTACACGTAGTAAATCAAATGTAAGAGATACTGAGAGAAATGATTAACACGGTACAGAATACAATTTCTTGATTTGACTCCTCTTTGGCATCACCTTTTAGTTCAAGGTTTAGTGAACTCTGGAGGAATTTTATTTCTTTTTACACTGACAAGGGCTCTCACGAATCAAGAGGATAGTAAAACTGATATGTTTCATAATGAACATAGCAGCCGGTAGATGCAACTCGACATCCTACAGTTTTCTCGTTGTTGCAGAATTTGAGTAAGTTGCCAGTGACTATGTTCAGACAGTCGTTGCAAGAATGCTGGGACAAATCCCTGGTGCACTGGGCCAAGGCATAAATAGTAGCATTAGATGCGACACTGAAACTCCTTCCCTTGCCAACCGCTTCATTTGCAGGCACAATAGCCTCCGAGCTGACCTTACTTATAAGAGCATCTAGCTGTTTCTTGAAAGCAGTGGGATGTTGTGGATGATCACCTAGGTAGAAGTTGGTAAAGGTAGATGGATCAACTATTCCATAGAATTTGTTCTCGGTAAACCTTAGAAAGCAGGTATCATTATACCACATCCAGACATCAGCCCGGTTTGCACAATATGTGCGAATGGTTTGTGTTGTATTATGAAGGCAGGCTGTGCAATCTTTACCATTCAAGTCTCTTCTGCATTGTCCCAAGCCGTAAACTTGGTCTGTACCTTTGCCATAAGTGGCAACACTGAAACGATTCTGAGAAGCGCTTGATGCTAGATGAGCCACCAAGCTATCAATGTTTGCTGACATTTGAGGGGTTGATATTGTTGAATTTTCACTGCAGCTATAAACGCTAACAGCATTAATATCAAAGAGAAAATCTGCAAGTACTGCAGTGCAGCTGCTGAGGAACAGCAAGAGAACAAGGCGAAACAAAGCCATCATGTACTGATCTTAGTTATCAGCGATTTGCAGTTGCACTTGCTTTCTAAATGCTATCCAATTTATAGGAGAAAATAACAATGTGCGCCCGCGTCCCTATTGCTAGGTTAGCTGGAACATGACACTGGTTGCAGATTTTTCTTGAGGTCAAAGTAAACTATTCAATCTTTTGGAAATCCTTCCTATCCTTCCTATCTAAAAGAAGCAATTGGAGTAACATTTATTACATCCAACAAGCGATATCCTTCCTATCTAAAAGAAGCAATAGGGGCTGGCACGTTTCTGCTTGGTCCACAGAACATATGGGTTCGGGCCATTGAAAAGTCTGGCAAATAATAAATCCAGCATAATAATTATACAGTTAAAATACTGGAGACTATGGGTGCAAATGAGTTAAGCCGAACCGAGTTTTGATCTAATCGAATCGAATCTTGATACAAAAGAGAGGGTTGGCACGCTCCTGCAAGGTCCACACGCTTCTAGGGATGATAGCAGACCAATTAGAAGAATCAGACAGGACGAGCAATGCCCCCCACAGCCAAATCTGACACAACCATTGTTTTCCTTCAAGTGGCATGGTACCGACAGCAAATTTTCTTGACTTGCTAGTCAAAGTAAATTATTCAATCTTCTGGAAATCCTATCCAAAAAAAAAAAAACTAGCATTATATCCAACAAAAAATCAACTAGCAAGTCAAGAAAATCTGCAACCGGTATCATGCTCTAGCAAATCCAAAGAGAAGGGCTGTGTAATTTCATTCATGCTTCTGCTAGGTCCACAAAACATGGATTTGAGTCACCGAAAGGCAAGCAATATATATATATATATATTGTAAACATGGTTATTTACAAACCCATTCTAAACAAGAATTTATAAATTTGCAGCTTCAAACCTTTTCTTAAGCTTTAGAAGTAGCAAAGAGAATTTATAAATATTAACAAAGGTTTAAACTATAATATTAAAACCTAGAGGGGGAAGTAGGGTCAATGTGTTTGCTTATTTTATTTTTATTATGCTAGGACACTTGTTATGTTATTTTTTCACCCCTAAAATCATTAACCAGCTAGAGTACAAATATGTCTTTTTGGAAAAAAAAAAAAAAAAAGTAAAGTCCATAATGAACTTTCAAGTGAAATCAAAAAATTTCAACAATTAAAAAAAAATTGACCAAATATTAAAGGATTTGACAAAAGTATCAATATTTTGAATGGTATATACAATGTGCATACTCCTTATTACTTCTTCTAGTTTCTTCCTTTTTCTTTTTGTGCCATAACAAACAAATTGAGATAACACAATTAAAATAGTTTGATTTTAAAATAAATATATGAACAATTTTTGTTTCTCCTTTGGAGTTGGATAACCCAAACTCACGATAAACAAAATTTAATTGTTTGCATGTTCTACCATTACTATTTTTCATGTTAAGTGAGTTGAATTTGGTAGTGTCTTAATGAAATTCCTTAATATGAAGTTACGTGCATAGTTTTTTCAAAAATAAAAAAAGATGTATAAACTTTCAAGTTCAAATGTTTATATTCTTTTGTGTGTTGTTTTTATTAATAATGGAGTGTAAATGATTCACCACATATGAATTTTTTTACCTAACTATTCAATTTTTTTATTTGAAAATTCATTGGTAGAGATAATTGATTTTTGTCATTTCTCTTTTGTTTTCTTTTATTGTTTTATTTTTTTTTTTGGACAGAATATAACACAAAGCACAAACAACAAGTACTATGTTATTTCAAGAACACCATGTTTTAGTATCAATAGCAAAATCTTGGATGATTTATAAATTGGATTAGATTATGACTAATCAAGAATGTTAAATTGAAACAAAAACTAAAGATGGAATGCAAAAAGACAGATTAAATTGGAGTGTCTTATTTTGGGAATAGCAAAGAGAATTTATATATACTTATAAAGATTTAAACTATAATACATTAGGATCAATATATCTGCTTATCACAAAGGTCCATGGCAATTATGAACAAATTCAAACTAGGTACGACAAAAAAGGAGCACATCAGAAAACAACAGCAACAAGGCATTAAGGGACATAGATGGGCAAATTGTAACGCACTCATTGATGATCAAAGCTAACCTGAAGAGTTCTCGTGGCAAATTCAACACCAATCGTGGGTTTAGATTCCAAACAGAACTCATTTCACGTAAACCTAGAAAGTAAGTTTGATTTTCCAACACCAGAATTTCCGATCAGCACAATTTTAAATAGGTAATCATAGTCATGATCCACCTTGTAAGCCATTTATTTTTTTTCTTACAGTTGAATTCAAGAACCAGGATCAATGCAACACAAAGAGATCGATCTTCAAGAAAAAAAAAACTGATAATACTGATCCACATCCTGGACTATCCAGAAGTAGGCCTAGTAGAGAACAGAATAATTTGCCAAGACACTAACCATGAAAAGATGGCAAGCAACAGGTGCAAGGGGAGATTATTTTGTTACTAGGAAATTAGGGGCAAGCCTTAAATTTTGGTCAGAGAGGAGGAGAAAGAAAATCTTGAGAAACAGAATGACCGCAAAAACGAGAGTCTTTATGCATGGCAAACGAGAATTCATGAAATTTGTAACTTTGAGATTCTCCCAAAAGAACAAAAAATTTCGTCTTTGAATGTAAGTTCTTGAGTACTTTAATTAGTGTTTACCTTAAATGTAAACTCGCCATTTATTTGCAGACATGTAAATCACACTTAGTTAAATGTAAGAGATACAGAGAGAAATGATTGATACAGTACAGAACACAATTCCTTGATTTGACTCCTCTTTGGCATGACCTTTTAGTTCAAGGTTTAGTGAACTGTGAACGGATTTTATTTCTTGTTACACTGACAAGGGCTGTCGAGCATCAAGAGGATAGTAAAACAGATTTATTTCATAACGAACATAGCAGCTGCTATAGAAAACATGATATCCTACAGTTTTCTCATTGATGCATAATTTGGGGAAGTTGCCAATGGGTATTTTCAGACACTCGGTGCAAGAATGTTGGGATAAATCCCTGGTGCACTAAAACTCCTTCCCCCGCCAAGCCCTTCATTTGCAGGTACAGTAGTCTCCTAGCTGACCTTACTTATAAGAGCATATAGTTGCTTCTTGAAAGCAGAGGGATGTTGTTGATGATCACGGCAAAGCTAGATCGATCAACTGTTCCGAGGAATTTTTTGCTCTGCAAACCTTAGAATGCAGGTATCATTATACCAAATCCAGGAACCAGTCTGGTTTTGACAAAGTGAGTGAATGATTTGTGCTGCATCTTGCATGCAGGTTGTGCAATCTTTACCATTCACAATCTCCTCTGCATTGTCGCAAGTCGTAGACTCCGTCTGTACCTTTACTATAAGTGGCAAGACTGAAACGATTCTGAGAATTGCTTGATGCTAGTTCAGCCGCCACCAAGGTATCGATGTTCGCTGACATTTGAGTGGTAGGTAATGTTGAATTGTCACTGTTGTAGCATTTTAATAAAATATTTAATTTTTATGTTAAATGCATAAAATAGAAGGAGAGAATATGGTAACAGTTTTTTAAGAATTATTAGTATTTGACTAATGCTCATGAATTCACCTTTGTTGGTAGAAATTAAAGGTTTTCAATTGCAATAAGTCTTGTAACCTACAATTCTAATTTAAATATAATTTGAATAGTCAATAACTCCTACATTTATCTTGCATATTATGCAACTTATGGCTTTTGATTAACTTTTCATTACCTATAAATATGTGTAGTTGAGATAGAAAAAAATACTACTACAACGACTTATGACTTGTGAGCTTAAATTTATATAATTACTATTATTTTCTATTTCATTACTAGGTAAGAAAAAGAGGTGTTTGTAGATTTATACTCTCTTAGTTGTACAGACTAATGAAAATGATATCAAGTGTGGCTGGACTATTGTATCTTAGGAGTGACAAACTAGAGATCCTACTGCATTGAAGTTGATTCTTTCGCAGAAACTTGAATCACCTTAAAGAGAGCCAAATATCCATGCCTCAACCCATTGCATTTGTTTATTTTTATATTATTATCACTTGCAATTTTTTTACATTTGATGTTATTATAGCTAATTTTGTAATTATTATAACTATCGTTATAACTACTGTTAATTTTTCTATTTGACATTTGTATTTTTCTATTTGTCTGTGCTTTTAATTACTATTTCATATAAATGATTGATTCAAAATTCAAGACAGGGGTATTTTTGTGTAGTTAGCAAAATTAAAAGTTCTATGTGAATTTTTCTTAACAATAAGAGAGTTCCATTATCAGTTTGTAACTACACACATAGTAAATAATTGACATAAATAAAAGTACTGGTAGGGCATTTTTGTCCAAAAAATCAAGGAGTGCGTTTGTTAAAGTGCCTATTGTCTGAAAAATCAAAAACGAAGTAGTGTTAAAGTGTCTATTAAAAAAGTTTAGGAGATAAAAGTGCAACTAGAGTCAAAGTTCATGGTGGTTTAATGCATTTAACCCTATCTATTTAAGCTCAAAGTGCCTATTCAGCAATAGCAATGCCATTTCCATCAATTCTAAACCATAGTTATTAAACTCGACCCGATAAGGAACTTGCAGTGGGACTAGATCAATAGATCACTGGTTCAACCAATGGGTCATTGGTTGAACCGGTGAGTATTAATTTAATATTTATAAATATAAAATAGTAATTTTAATATACATAAAATATATAATAAAGTGCTTTTAGATACTAATTATTATACTTAAAATATATATATAATAAATACATAGATACTAATAGAAGATTTAACTTCATTTTATTGTACTTTTAAATAAATAAATAATATAGTGCAAGTATAAAAAAAATTATATCAGCATTATTTTTTCATTATTTTATTTTTTGTTTAAAAAAGTAATTTTCTAACTAATCAAATATTGCCAGTTTAAAAGTTAAAAGGACTGATTATATAATAAAAAATAAACAAGTTTATTAAAAAAAAATTAGTTATCAAATAAAAACTAAACAAGTGGTAAAGTCCTATACATATTTAAATGAAAATCCAATGCACAAATTTTATTAAAAGCATATATACATTTTGTTTAAAAAAAAAGGCCACAATTATTAAAAACAAATAAAGGTAAACCAGATCAATTGAAAAATTG